GAGCCAAGAGAGGAAGGTTCTGGGGTAGCCTGTTGTTCCAGGCTTTCAGATTGAAGACCGCGGGCGAAAAATTGACGAGGAAAAAAAAAGAGGGGTGACTTAACCGCCGAAGCAGGTGTTTCCGTGCAGTTTCGGAGCAAAGAACGAGGAACGAGAGTGAAAAACTGCGCGAAAATACTCCCGGAAGCGCTTGCTACGCGGGCTTGGAGTGACTAGCGGAGGGGAAACTACTCGCCCCAATGTCCCCTGGTTTCCCCCTCGTTTTCCCTGGGTACGATTTAACTCGCTCTCCACCATCTGAACTCCGCGCTCCTCTATCTGAATGCCTGGGACAGGCTAACTCTGGGTTAATAGGTTGGCCTTTCCCGATTGTGCTCTTAAAATACTGGAAAGTTTCTCACTGCAATGCCAAAAAGTTGCTAAAAAATTGCCAAAAATCCAAAAAGTTGCTACCTAAATTTCAAAAGTTGCCACCTAAATTTCTTATTATAAACGTTGATTAAAAGCTTTATTTTTTGTTCTTCACAATAATTACTAACATCGGTCAAGAACAAAAAATTTTAAAAACAAAAATTAAAATAACAAAAATAAAAATAAAATTTAAAAAATTAACGTTTTGTATGAAATCGTTGACTTTTTTCGTGCTTGATATGTGCTCTAAGCCTATATTTTGCTCAAAAGTTGCTCAGAAAGGCAACATTTGCCAACCTCGTTCCCAGGATTCTCTTCTACCACCTTGGTAACGAGGTTGAAAATTTGCTCGAGGTTGCTAGAACCGCAAAAAGTTGCGCCAATCGCCAAAAGATTCTCAAAAGTTGCCGGGCACAATCGGGAAAGGCTTAGTAATAGGCAGTCCTGATAAGGTTAAAAGTTAGAAAAAAACGGAAAGAACAAAGAGGTCATTAAGAATAAAGGTTACAAGGTCTTATAATGGACAATAATTTCTTGCGCAGTAGTCAGGATTTGGTGTCCGCGAATAATGCTTTATTCCTCTATTACTTTTCTGGTTAAGTTTTACTAATATAAACGAGGCTTTATTAAGTGTTTATTTTCGAACGTGGGTGGTAAGATGATATGAATAAATTTGAAAGAAACGAATCGTTCTGCGCATAGAGTAACGGTAAACAGTAGAGGGCCAAGAACAAAGCCTCGTGAGTACTGATGACAGAAAACAAGAGACAAAGTTGTAGTCCTACTGACACAGGAGAGGGTTTATCATTATTTTTTCAGACATGGGAGTAGCAAAGGTGATAAAAAAATGAGGTTGTCATGTTCCAAATGCCACTTGAGTTTTTGTTACCCCAGTGGCAAATGCATAAAGTAGAACACCTTCCTGTCCCTTTTGATATCACTCCCTTCTCTTCCACACCCACAATAGCAGCTAGACCTCACAAACGTGACTGGGTTCCAATCGCCATTTGCACATCTCCCGTATTAAACTTTGTTTGCCCTACAAACATTCTGTATATGCATTGTCTTCAATTTCTCTTAAGACGACTGTAACCCTCAGGAGAAATTTAAAAAATTGGAGGGTGCAAACAAGGTGTATTACAAGAGATGTGCAAATGGGGAATGTTGTTTGCGAAAAGCGGAGTCTGCAATCCTGGACAAAACTCCTTGGGACAGTAAGAACATAACAGCAGTTCTATGTGTATCACACTTACTGTTCTAAAAAGCAGTGCTGTCATTTTAAAAATCCATAACCCCCCCCCCCCCCTTCCGCACTCAATACAATGTTGAAAGATCAAAGAAATTGTGCCTTGACGGTTTCAACACTATCCGTGGGGTGGAGACGTGCAGTGCAAGTAGCGCGCGGATATAAATTTCGCGTGTGCTAAAAAGCGTTCGAACGGTACAACCGTCCCGAGACTTTTGTCATGGATACTGCTTTTGTCCATGATTGTTGCTTGCAGCCGATGCTAATGCGAGGTAATAAGATGCTTGAGCCTCTATTGCAAGCTAGTTCCAGTCCATTACCGCGATTAAAAATGGGCAGGTGCAAACTCTCAGCATCGCTGGCTCATAACTGAGAGGATCTGAGGTGAAGCAAAGAGTTTTTGTGCACACCCAGCAGGATGTCATTCTTTGTCCCGGACTGATGGTCCAACCGTGTTTGAACCTGAGTCTCCCCATTAACAATCACGTGCCCTGCAACTGTGCTGTAAGTAGCCTGCGGGCAAGCTCTCCATTTGGGGCATATCGTGAAAAGTAGACGCGCGAGAGGCACGCGACAGGAGACGCGAAAGTGGGGGGCGGTCCCTCGCGGCTTCGCCGCTCGCTCGCGCCTTCTCTCGCGACTCGCTTCGCTCGCCCAAATAGGAGAGCTTGCTCGCAGCCTATGCTGTAAGAGTAGCGGTTCTCGTTCTATCCTCCCTTTCCCCCTTCACCTGTAAATAATGACTGTGTGCTCTTAACAGGACTTTCGCGAGTATTTGTTTGTGAATATTTTAAAGGCACTTCAGGGTGTTAACGAACATTGAATTAGCAACCACCCCAAGAAGCCATATTGAGGAAAAACCAAGGTACATGTAGCCACTATAAAACTCACACCGTAAATACACCACTTCCCTATTCTATTTGATGGTCTGGAACCAGCAAGAAATCAGGGATCATACAGGATTGAAGAGGAGAATTC